TCAATTGTTCACCTAGCTTGAATGACCTGCATATTCATATGTTCATTGTACTCACAATCTAGCAAATTCCTCAGTGCATGGCTTCCCTGCACAGAGGTATTGGCCTAGCATTATCTTAATCTGTTTGTATAACAGATTACAGAGCTATGTATATACTACCTATGTTACTATCTCTTTCAGAAGTGGACAGAATTACTTTAAAGTTGTGAGTATTTCTCAGAACATTAAGCAGCTTTCGGATTCCAGTTAACTACATGGATCACATGCTTGATAATTACCAGAACCAACTTATCAGCACATTTCTTTTGAGCAGAAACAAAAATAAAAACATCACAAGGCACTTCTTAGTGTGCATTTTGCAGACCTATGCACCGTATGTGAGAAATAAATACAATGGTGAATACGCATGCCAGAGTGCAGCAAGAGCAGGTCTCCTACAAAAGGGAAAATGAATGAAAAGCCAATAGTGGTCATGGCACAGTGTCATCACCAGCCAGGGCAACATCCCACCATGTCTGAATAGGATAAGCAGAGCAGTGTGCTGATAACAAGGTCCATTGACAGTCCCAGAAAAAGTGAGGTGAGGAACCAGGTCCAGGACCCATCCCAGGACTCTAGTCAGGAGCAGCAGGAGATGGACACAGATACAGGACTGGAGGAAAGACAGAAACATGGGTCCACTGGAGGCAGAACTCAAGGCAAACTACTTACAAGGTAGGTCAAGGTCCATGCAGAAAATGAGGCTGGAGGCAGGACTTGACACAGGCCCACTGACAACATAGTTCAGGCAAGGACTAAATGTCCAGGCCTGAGCTTAAATGGAGTGCCTGAAGCTAGGAGCAGAGAGTGCATGGGTGGGGGTCCAAGGCTGGTCAAGGCAATTAAGGCCCAGTGGTGCATTCAGGGTCCTCACAGTGCAGTCTGTAACTTGAGTAAAGATGCATCTGAAAATCTGAGACCAAGCCAGGCCATATAATTAGTATCATACAGAAGGATGAAGCTTTACTGCATCATAACTTTAGCCATATTTTAGTGATGAGCAAGGATCCACATGAGTGCATAAAAGCTTTGCAGAAGATCTGAAATCCACCTTGGGGATTCACACTAATTCACATTCTAGAACCTCTCTTAGGAAAGTGACTCCTTGGAATGAAACATGCAAGGGAAACAGCAAACTGCTGCAGAAATCTGGACAGCTGATTTTTCTCAAATAAGCCAGTCATGAAGATGAGGGTATTCATGTAACTTTGCCAGTGAATGTGAGCTGGTGCTAAATCAAAGTGTTTAGTCAATACTCTAAATGTGTTTAACAAAGTGAAGAAGTCACACTTTGAATTGATAGTTTCTTCCTAACATAATGAATGAAAGAAATTTGCTTTCTTCTGAATGTTTTAATGCACATAATAATCTAATCTACAAGCAGAAGGAAACAAGTAACTGAAAGGATCCAGACTGGCAACACAGAATTAGAAACTGTCATGTGAAATTTAAATGACATATGAATGTATTAAAACACCTGGTATTTAGTCTAATATGCCATTTTGGGTTGTTAAGGGTTTATGTTGTAAGGAAATGGAATTTTCCTAAATTCAAAAGCTTCTACACTTTCGATGCATTGGTTTTGCAGGACTGGGATACCAAAATATATCTGTCTTTCATTGCCCTATGTGGTCATGAACTAAAACCAGGCAGGACTGGCAGATAAGGAAGCTTAGTCTATTGGAATTTTCTGATATATCTATCTTGAGCAATCTACAGGACTCACCAACTTGTGTCATTCCAAGACAAATTTTCCCGAAAGATTAAAATTAAGTGGTGGAGACAACAGGTACAGATCCCTAAGAATAATTGTTAGATTCCTCACTTCAGAAGGAGTTATGATGTCTCTAAAATGCTTTCAACAGAGAGACAGCAGAAGGAGATAGAATGGTAAAGTTTCATGCGTCTTATGAACAGTTAAGAATCTACAATGTTTCATCATAAAGAACATTTAAACTCCTTCAAGAAACATACTCTAAAGAAATGTACCCTAATACATCTATTCATGAAGTTTCATAGTTCATTGTCCTAACCTGGAAGAATAGTAACCAGAGTTTGTTCTACTTCCAAAAAGATCTATTCTCCTTGGTTCTTTTTTTCATAAATCTGCTTTGTAGATTGTCTGGAGCTTTTCTTAACTACAGTTATAAATGAGGAGAATGCAGAAGTATAAAAATATTTAAAATCTTCAGATGAAACTTTACAAATTCATGCATTTCAAAGAAAATGAAGCAGGAGTCTGGGTAAATCCAAATGTCACTAGCAGTGTCCAAGATTCCCTCATTTATTGGCAAGATGACCTGGCTGTGTGAGGTTGGCTGACAACATCAAAAAGTTAAAATGCCTTTTCTAGTACCACCTTCAGAGGAACCCATAAGAGTTTCTGGCACTCTCTGAAGCAATCCTGGAAGGCCTCCAGATCATCAATAGTGAAAGAGACAGACATATTCACAGCTTTATCCAGTAAGGATGATGAAAATGGAAGATGCAAAATACTCTCACCAACTTCAGGAACAAAAGAAAAGTTAAATGAATTTTCACTGAAAAAAAATGCAGTTTGATAATACAGACTGAATGGAAAAAATTTTGTGGAACTCAGAGTAAAAAAAATCAGTATATTTAAAATCTATAAAGCTGCAGGCCAGGATAAGATGTCTGAAGATTTATGCTAAGCAAAGATCAAAAAAAGAACCTGAGCATCCTGCTATGATTCCTCAGCAAATTATAAGAAAAGGAATGCATGTCAGAAGAATAAAAAAAGAACCATCATCAAAGAAATTGAATAAAGAAAAAACTAAGAGTCACAGGGAAATTGTGCAGAGTTACTCTGAAAATTACTTCCTATGCTTTCAACTGCAGCTTTCAAGAGCACCATGCTGGAGGATTTTTTCTCTATTTAATCGGAATTTCATACTTTACAGTATTATTAAATAAAGTAACGGTGGATAGAACTCATCAAGGGCAACAAGCAGATCAAACACAAGCAAAACAGTTTTCACTGTGGATGTCCAGGGCAAATATTTAGAATAAAAATCAACAAACAATAAAGTTGAGACTTTGCAGCTAGTGTTACTATCAACAACACTGCAAACAGTATAAATGAGAAGGTGGACTTACCTTTGCTATATTTCAAGAACACTGGACAAAGATTTCACTAAACAAACCCTATTCTGGCAAACCCAAAGCAGAAACAGAGAGAGGTCACTCCAGAGGGACCATTCAAAACACAGTAATGGCTGATCCACCAACTTTACAAACTAATAACTTTGAGAGATTAAAGGTACTGGCCCACCATAAGATTGTTTAGGAACTAATCTCTCATGTAAGCACACAAGCACTGGATTTGATTGGACAAGACCTATGAACTAAAAAAAAAGCAAAAGTTTTCAGTCTCCGTAACTGTATAGTAGACCTAACACTTCAGCGGAGACTTGTTCCAAGTTCAGACAGTGCTTTCCAAACTCAGCCATTTAAAATTTATTTATGTGAAAAACACCTGGTGAGCACATTAGGAAAAAGTGAACAGTTTTCCTCCTTATGAGAGCTCAAGAATAGATTTTAAAATACAGAAGACTCAATCTCTGGTCTGAGCAATGAGAGAAAATTTCATTTTAAAAAACTGTAGGTTTTTTTTCCTTGAAAGTTACTAGCAAGTGAAAAATAATTATTAATTGCTCTATTTCTTCTCCACAACAGTTACTACCATTGATCACTGTGTAATGTGTAACGTGTAACAAACACACACATATACATAATACCTAATAAGCACCTTTAAAATATCTGTCATTAAGGACTTAAATTACTTTTTTTGAAGTTTGGCTAGTAGAACTCGGTGGACACTAGAATACACCAACTTTGCCAAATTAAATATAGAGCAAGAACATACATAAATTATTCCCCTCTTCCCAGGACATATTCATTTAATAGATTGCCCAGATTTTATACTTTAACTATTTTACCATTCACCTGCTCTACTTATATTAGTATTTAGAAACAAAGAGACAGATAAGTGATCTGTGAAAAGCTTTCTACTTTTTCATTACTCTTCAGCAACACAGTCTGAGCAGCTTATTAGAAAAACATAAGAAGGTAACAGATTCCAACCGCAGCAGTCTCTAGTTTCATTACTTTCTGACATTCAGTGCCACTAATACAGCAATGCTTTTGGCAAGAACATATATGCCCCCTATAGATTTAATGCATTCTTACCACAGAAAGACAAGAATAAATGAAAGGCTCATTAAGCATTTCATAAATAGAAAATTCAGTAATAGAAAAACTATATTACATCTTCAATAAAAAATATGTTTACATGCACAGAAATATGAAATTATTCTTAAATATTCTCTAGTCCCTTTTCTTTTAAACATAATTCTTTTAGCCTGCACAACAGAGATTGCTCCAAGTATTTCCTTTCCTGAACAGTGTTCCCTCCCCACCACTCGATCCCTTTGTCCCACAGATTTCCCAAGTACAACATCAAAAGGATTTTAGAAAAAAATTCAAAATTTTATTCTGAGTTTATGATAACGTATTATGCAAATTTATAGCACTATATAGATGATTTGTAATAATGTTGTTACAATTACATTTGTATTTTAAAAGCTGGATCATAAATTTTATCTGCTTTAGCAGTAATGACATGCTGTTTGGAAATACCATTAGCATTCACTTCAATATACTATTTTATATATACAATTAGATCTACAAGGGTAGACAAACATGACTGATAAATCTTGACCATTTAATGGCTTCCACATAACTAACTGCACTGAGTAATCAGCATTTTGTTTGGTCTAAAATTATTAAATTCCAATTAGCCTTTAATTTTATTTTTCAAAGACCTGACTGTAGATCTGATTCCATATTCATATTTCTAATGGTATATCCCAGCAAGTATGATAATTCTGAATAAAGATAAAGCATGTCTTTTTATTTCAAGGTATCTAATTCAATCTTACTTTAGTGTTCTTAAATCCCACAGCTTGATGCCATCACCTGCAGCTGCGGTCATGAAAAGATTGTAAGCTTCAGGTTGCTGAGTGCTGAAGGATGACCCCTGTAAAATATGAAATCAATTTCAGAGAACAATTCTCATGGAGTTAAATTTTTATAGAATCATATTTCAAGTTGGAAGGGACCCATAGGAATCATCAAGTCCAACTCACTGCTCCTTGCAGGACTACCTAAAATTAAATCATATGACTAAGAGCATCATCCAGATGCTCCTTGAACTCTCACAGGCTTGGTGCCATGCTGACTTCCCGGTGGAGTCTGTTCCAGTGACCAACCACACTTTCGGTGAATTATTTAGTTCATTTAAAAAATAAACAATGTGTAACAATTGATGAGGTTATGTGGAAAAAAGCTTGTCTGCACACACACAAAAGAGTGTAGAGGACAGCTGGCATGTGAAGGAACCCCCATAATCCAGTCAGAGAAATGGAGTACTGGCTCTATACCTCTCAGCGTTGTACTAGCACAGACATGAGCCCTTTGGTCCAGGGGTGATACCCACTGTGGTGCATCAACGAGAAAGGCTCTGGATCATCTCACAGACTGATGGGGATTCATATCTATCAGGGTATGGGATCCATTATGTGATGTATGGGAAGATAATTTTGTGATTGCATAAAACATTAGGGGATGTTTAGGGAAGCAAATAAGGGCAGGGAAATGGAGGGATCAGAGAGTAGTCCAACTTTTAGTTATAAGCCATGTTTAGCCCTGGCATAAGTGGGCACACTTTCCCTTGACTTCAGCAATAATTGCATTCATTCATAACAGGACTGATTTTGGCTTTGTAACTTTAAATAATTAAATCCAGTCTATTTTTAAACCTCTGATTTTTTAACATCCACATTAGCAAATCCTGGCCTTTTTGCTGGCTACAAAGTTCTTTCTCCAGGGAACTAAATATAAACAGTTAAAGCTTCTTTCCTTTCTCCACCATTCACATTCTTGATTTGGCTGAATACATCACAGAAACCTCAAGGCCATTTCCCTCAATCAGTGCTTGACTGCCAGGAATCTTCTATTCATTATGAAAACTGGTGTATAGCTGGAAAATGCTGTAGTATTTAGTCAATAGAATTCCCCAAATGGCAAGACAAACTGGGGCACTCAGCATTAAAAAGACTATAAGAGCTTTCACTTACTTTGCTTTAAGCAGGTTTCCTTCCTAAACTATTACCACAGTCTACTCTAACAGATTAATTAAAATGCTCTGTGCAACAGATTTCCCAGAAAAGTCTACACATTCTCACATTAGCTGTGTATGGCTACAAACAGGTGTAATTGTAAAAGGTAAAGATAGTAGCTGTCCAAAGGACAGTGTTCATTAAAAGTTACAGAGCACCCTTTCTTTCTGTTTTTGAAACTTCTACTCATCATCCCATTCTTCAGTCAGCAATGATCACAGAGTTCAATACAAAAAGTTCTACAGACACATATACACTCACTTCATGCACTGCTCCTTTCGAACACACTAACAGTAATACACATAAGAAGTGTAATCCCTTTGTTTCTTTCCTGCCTTGACATTTTGTTGGTAATAACATAAAGCTATACTTGTATCTTCAAAGTACATTTGCCAGTGAATATTACTGCAGAAGACAAGTAAATATATACAAGTTGGGATAATAAGCAAGATTAATTTTGTTTATCCCTTTGTGGCTTTATAGTTCATTGATTTATTATAATTATAATTTATGAGAATCTAATGCAAAAAGTAGCATATTCGAACACTCTTCAAACTGTATTCTTTCATTCTGACAGTCAAATCACTTGCCTATGCCACATAATCTTCCTCATCCACCACTGTAATCCCTTCTCAGCTTCTCTCTAAACTAACTACATGACAATTTACACATAAAATTTGGCCCCAAGGAGGATATGGTTCAACAGAATCCCTATCTCATTCACTAATTATATAGGAACACCATTGATATCATCCAAACAGTGCAGTTGGTTTATGCTGAAGGCATAGATCAATAGATGTCTCAGAAAATACTCTACAGCTTCCCAGCAAGCACATTCAGACAGGTTTGTCACTATGGCTAGAAAAAAAGTTCACTGAATCTTCTGAGTTGCCTGTAACATTTTTCAGCCTTCACATCATGTGCATTTCCTAATTAATGGACCAATGAATTCTGAAACAAAAGGCTCTGGGCAGAAAACTACAACCTTGGTTGTTTCTCTGAAAATTAATGTAATCTGTAACTGTATTTGCTAGCAGAACATAATACCATCCAAATATTTGTGGCTGATATTGATACATTCCTGTTCAAATAATATGTTTTGCAGCACTACAAATGTATTGCTAACACTAAATCTCTGATTATCTGTGGTCTGATCTCTAAATGCCATCTATTTCTGTATCTCAGAGATTCATAAACTCTGACATGAACAAAATTTTGATATTTCAAACAATTCATTTTACTACGTTTCTTAAAACTTAGTATGCAAAGCAATGGAACCATGAAAAGTCACATAATACTTTGGTAATCATTGATAATTAATTTTCATTGGATGATCTTACATATCAAACCAAAATCATGAAGTTGAAAATCGTTGGTTGAATAAAACAATTTACAGCATTGTAAATCCATTATTATCAGCTTAGGATACTCATCTTGTCAGACTTAGTATAAAATGGCTAAGAACTATTTATCAGAGTGAGGTGAAGTTACTACAGTCAGAAGAGCAATATATGCTCATTGCCTCAGAAGGAGCTTAATGACATTACTTGGGTCTAGTAACACCCTGCATTAAAATATCATAAACAGTTCTGAGAGTAGGGCCTGGAAATCAGATACAGGTTCAGGGAAAAGAGTGAAGGGTTCCTCAACCCTAAAAAGTGGGAGATTAACATCTTTGTTGGTGACACAGACAGTAGGATTGCGTGCACCCTCAGGAAGTCTACCAATGACTATGGTTGACAGGCTGGAGGGAAGGGATGCCATCCAGAGGAACCTGAACAGGCTTGAGAGGTGGGCCTGTGCAAAACTCATGAAGTTCAACAAGGCCACATGCAAGGCCCTGCATATGGGTCAAGGTGATCCCATGCACAAATACAGGCTGGGAAAAGAGTGGATTAAGAGCAATCCTAAGGAGAAGGTCTTGGGAACAGTAGTGGATGGAAAACCCACTATGACCCAGCAATGTGTGCTCACAGCCCCAAAAGTCAACTGTATCCTGGGCTACATCAAGAGAATTGTGGCCAGCAGGTCGAGGGAGGGGATTCTCCCCTCTACTCTGCTCTCATGAGACCCTACCTGAAGTACTATGTCCAACTCTGGGGCCCCCCAGTAAGGACATTGACCTGCTCAAGCAGGTCCAGAGGAGGCCACAAAGATGATCAGAGGGGCTGGAGCACCTCCCTTACGAGGACAGACTGAGAGAGTTGGGGTTGTTCAGCCTGGAGAAGAGAAGGCTCCAGGGAGACTTTATAGCTGCCTTCCAGTACCTAAAGGGGGCTACAGGAAAGATGGGGAGGGACTCTGCATCAGGGAGTGTAGTGATAATATAAGGAGTAATGGTTTTAAATTAAAAGAGGGCAGATTTAGGTTAGATATAAGGAAGGCATTCTTTACTGTGAGAGTGGTGAGGCCCTGGCACAGGTTGCCCAGAGAAGCTGTGGCTGCCCCCTCCCTGGCAGTGTTCAGGCCAGGCTGGATGGGGCTTTGAGCAACCTGGTCTAGTGGAAGGTGTCCCTGCCCATGGCAGGGGGGTTGGAACTAGATGATCTTTAAGGTCCCTTCCAATGCAAACCAGTCTATGATTCTATGATTTCCACCAGTTTCCTCAAGATGAGGAGAACAATGAACCTCTTTCCCCCGGTTCCTGAGCAAATGCTCTGAAAAGTAAGCTATTACACAAATCTGCAGCAGTATCACCACCACATCTCCACAGAACCATATATTTAGCCCAGTTTCCTGATGAAATGATGCTTATGTAACTGTACTGTCTGCTGATTCTCATCCAGAAATTTTTTAACCTGCTTCAGGTTATGATAATGTCTTCTGATAATTATGTTACCACAAGATACATGTATATGAGTAATTAACAGACAGAAATTCAAATGGACAGAGCCATTAAAGAAAGTGATTTTGTCTGACAAGCTATTAGCCAGCCAACACAAGAGTAATTTAAAACATGTGTGCAGTATGGCATGCATCTCAGTCAACTAGTAATAAGGACATGACAAGAAGATAACATTGTTATAGGGGAGGAATATTTAGGCAACATAGGGAACAAAACTGAAAGTACATGTGGTGGGGAGGTGAAGGTTATAGAGTCAAATAGAAGTTTTTGTGGTGGATTTGGAAGGTGATATTTAAGGACACAGGCTTAAAATCCTTTAGAAAGGATGCTTAGTTTTGTTACTGCTGGAAGAACCTGTATACAAAGAAGAACAAGGTTTGTATTGTCATTATGTGGTATGCGCTGAGCACTTCAGGGGAATTTGGTGCCAAAATGTTTTCCAAGGAAGCAAAAATACACTGAGGTTTGGAATAATAAACATTAATGTGCTCCATTAAATCAATACTATAGACATTCTAAGCAAGCACTATAAGGCCTAAAGTTCTGCAAGCAATTTAATTGTGTAAGCTTTAATCATATATGGAACTAGTCTATTTTTTTTGAGGTTTTCTCTCCTGGACTTCAGTAAGCTAAGTTGCACTACTTCAATCCAGGACTAAGGGTTCTTTATATATCAGATCCTAAATAACTGTACTAATCTAAAGTAGGTGAAAAATGGGAAGTCATGTGCCACAAGCAATGCACATTATAAACAAAAATCTGGTAGGGAGCACACTACCTAGAACAATTTCTTCCCTAGGTAAGGTTTCTTTTGTTATGATTTTGCCCAGCTTCCTCTTTTCCTTCTACTGCTTTTCTTCATCCAATACTTTAAATGTGTCAAAGCCCCATAAGTCTAGCTCTAAAATGGTCTTTTAATAAGTATCAGAATATCTATCTCTCATCTGAGAGATGCTTGCGACGTTCTTGCTCCGATTTCCCTTCCCTGATGCTGACAAAATAACAAAAGTTCACAACAGAAAACACTGTTCTGTAGAATATAAGGAAAGATCTGAAATAAACACAGTCAAGTCATTGAAATACTATAGATGGAAAGGTATAGAGTGAAAATATTTATATATCTGTTGGCATACATATATATACAGTGTATATATAAACATATGTTACTTTTGACTACTGTTGCAATTTAAGGTTTTCAAATCAAACAGGGTAATATTAAGACATTTGATTATTCCTACAGTTACCAAAGATAAAGAAGGAAAGATTACATACAGCAATATATACTTTCCATCATGATGCAATGCTAGTGTGCAGACATATTTTCACTGTATTCATTATTTTTCATCTCACTATAAACATGTAAGAACATAGAGCAGCTTCTTACCTCGTCCAAATATGGGAACTACTGTCTTGTCTTTAAAGATTTACCAGCCAAGATTTTTTTCTTACATTTCTCTCTGATGATTCACAGTAACAATTATTTTTTCCCCAGCTTCCACATAATTTTTATATTTCTTCAGCATCATACTACCGAATGTTTAATTTCTGAAGTAATACTCTGCATTAAAAGTTGAATTTAAAATGGGAAGACTTTCTAAATGTGCTACTGCATTTAATTTAAAGATGTTTAAAATTACTCTTTGTACTAAAGCAGAAGTCCTAGCCTTCTGGGACTGAGCTTTACTGACGCTGCTTTCTTCAATTCCCTGCATCCTCCTCCCTCATGGTCATTACCTCCCCAAACCTAGTTTCTTCAAGTCCTTTCATCTGTCTCCTCTGGACCCTTGCAAGACACTAAGGTTCAAGAAGGTGAGAAGGGAAGACATAATCAGGGCAAATGAGCTGGGAACAGCAGTAATCTACATGGATGTGGATGACTGGAACAGTATGGAGCAAGGGGGAGGATTCTACTAGAGTGAGGAAATCAAGGACAGGAAGGAGGAGAAAGGAAAGAGGTTGTAGGAGTTGGAGAGGTGAAGACTCAGCTGCAGAGGTAGAGCACCTGTAATGATACAGGGAGATACAGCATAGTTTCAGCTGAGAAATCATAGGCTTTGAGATCTAAACTGGCCAAGTAGCACAGGATCAGAGGCGCAGGCTTCAGCCACAGGATGGTTATGCTGGAACTCCAGCAAACTGTCCAGAAGCTTGAGATGGTACAGTCATCACAGAAGTTGCCAGTGAGAAAGAAACAAGAGTGACAAGATAGAAGACAAGCTGGAAGCCCCATCTGGTTGCTGCCACTGTTCTTGTCTCCAGGGAAGAGGGAGGAGTCAATAAGAATGAGCAGAACCACCACCAGATTCACACCTCACCTGAAAAGAAGGACCACTGCAGCAATTTGCTAGCCTACAATAGCAAACACTCCATGTATTTATTATATATATATAAACTGTATGACTACCTACTCTACATTAATCTGCAATATTTCACAAAGTGTTAACAAGAACAGAGATTACCTTGCATAATTCAAACTTTACTTAAGGGACAAGTTTCATCAATTGTACTTACACCTGTGCAGAGACTGAAGATTGAGTATCTCAGGCAAGGATACGGTCTGATTTTACAACCTAATTACAACCAGGAAGATTCAAAACATTCCTGCTAAAGAAAGAGAAGCTGTGGCAACTAATGATTTCATTAGGGTGGTTTATCATCTTCAGCATATTACTGGATCAAGGCTTCACCACACTGATAACTGCCACTGCAACAAGGGATGTGCTATACTGTACTAAATGGAAAGTGATGCTTCTGACCACCTATGGTCATTACAGAATTTGGGGGGTATGTGAGTGAACTCAATGATTTTAGCCAGTATATTTTGGGCAGTTTTCAAGAGGCACATCTATAAAGAATTCTACTTTGGCCTCATTGCAATTACTGCAGATTTTGATAAGCAAAACAAGGGTTTCTGGATTCTTAAGAGACAGAAGATTTTTACATTAATTTTATTTAACAGGCCACAGAGAGATATTTTCAAAATTAGACAAGAGAGTAAGGCAAGCAGTTCTTAGATTCAGCTGATGTTTAAATGTTTGAATGTTTCTCTGAACATTTCCCTACAGTGCATTCTAAATTTCTGTAGTGCCATGAAGATAATCTTTACAGAAACACTGATTTAGCAGCAGCTTATTTGCACGTGCAAGTAATATGACAAATTTAATTTTCACTCACAGTTTATGCTTCAAGTCATACAGACATAGCATTGCTATCTTCTAAATATATTTTCACTTTTATAGTACTAAAATTCTAAAAGGAAACAGGAATTAGACATCCATTAAAATGGGTGTCCCACCCCGTCATCTGCTATATAGCTTATGACAGTAGATACAGCCAAATCATTTATATGAACATGCATTATATATATCTGCAATATTTACTGTTAAGCTATTCCAAAGGAAGATTCAGAATATCATTCTATTACAAATCAGACAATGTCTGCTGTGAAGAGAATGTACTCTGAATGATGTAATAACCTTTATCAAGTACACTGCAGGCTGAGATTAATTTCATGCATTGCCAATTCTTGCAATCTCTAGAACAGACCAAAAGAAAAATTTAAAATCGCATTACTTTGAAAATTATATATACTTGCTTACAGCTGCCGCTGTCCAAAACCATAAATAACAGTATGTCATGCTGTTGATCTATGTTTCTAGAATATCCTATGTATTTAAGAATTTGCTAACACATTTCTCCCACACTTAATCAGAACATATCTTCCTTAGAGTTTTAGAAGACCTTCTAAAATAGATTTTTTTTTTTTATTTGTTTAAAGAATAAATCTCCCAATCATCCCCACTTACTACTGTCCAGGTAGTATCACAAAGCAATCCTGGAACATGGAAACGGAATGAATCTAAAGTATAAAATGCACTTCAAGAATATATATATTGCAATCACTAATGAGCATTCAGTCCACAAGATAAGACTAGGGCTAGTCCAAAGGAAAGCCTACATAAATTTTAACATGTAGGTACTGGATCTTCATCATCAACTGTTTCATTCCACAGATTTGCTTCTGTTACACCATCCCTCATCACTAGCTAGCCTTAGATTCCAATGTGTTTCACACTTTAAATAGGATGTAATTTACATACAGCGTTCTGCATATTTTTATAAGTCTATAAAATGTTTTAGCATATTATCTTCATGCAAATGCACTGAGTTATATTTGCTCTAACAGCTTTAAACTATACAACTGTTACAAAATAGTTGATGTGTAATTTTCCTATGGACTTATCTAAAGTATTAATTTTATATAACTGAAAAAAATAGAGAACCTTGATTATAATTTTCCCCCAAAACGGTCAATTTTCTTTGCTATACCACATACCTCTAGGTTTTTTCCCAAGTGAATACTTGCCCACAGCTTTAAAGTTTTTTCTTGATTAAATAACCTGAAGCCACTAAGCTGAGCAAGCAAAATGAAAAGCCAGATCTTTAAGCCTATATGTGTTACAAAGAGTACTGAAATAGTTAGCATGATTTTAAGTGTTTTACCAGATCACATCTCTCAGGAAAACCCACAATGAGGTCTACAAGATTAATAATAAAGAACAGTTTTAAACCCACAGAAGCAAGGACTTTCCAACTGGGAATGAAGAACCATATTCAACCAAACCTAACATAGCAAGTATTCCAGCATGTATGGTACCATAAAACCTCCAAACATTCAAATCAGTCTTCAAGTTAAAAAAAAAAAGAGCAAGGATGAGGGATTTTAAACCATCTATTCTATTGCAGTACTGAACAATTTTCTTTTGGTTGCTGTTTCTGAACTTTCAGAATAAACCAGATTCAACTTCAGAGGAGACCTGTTACATAAGGAAAAGTTCCTGCTGAACTACAGTGTTACAGTCTGGCACAAGTAACGCAAAGGGTAATATGCACTTCCCTAATAGCAAGCTGGTTCATTCTCACTGCTTCCTGCTTTCCACTAGAGAACAACTGAGATCTGGGTGCCTTTATCATACAGACTTGCCTATCCTCTCCAGCATGTAAAAAACTATCAAATACTGTCAGTTATATTTTTAGCCTCCAATTTCTTTGTTGAAGTAGTTGTAGTGGTACTACAAATAAAATTCAATAAAGTATATACCTTATTTTGGCAGATCTGATGGACTGATCTAGTATGAACTTCTGGTATCACTGCTGTGCTGCAGCCTGCATTGAGGTCAAAAACTTCCAGTGCTCGGTTTCTGCCAGCTGTAAGTACAATATCTGTACAGTTCACTGTGTTAAAGTTAAACTGATCTAAAGGAACAAAAGCATTTAGATATCAAAAAGAGAGACAAATAGATATCAAGACTGTTGTATTCAGTGCTCTATGAGCAACACCAAAAAAATCTTACAGTCCTAAAAGTTTTATGGCCAAGGCTGAAGTTCAATACCACACAAAAATACACCAGTTTTCCTCCAACTGAAAAACAGTAGCAAAGAATCAAAAGTTAATTACTTTAACTGAAGTTATTTTCATGCCATTAAGTCTAAAGAACTATAAAGAAAACAAGAATTACAAAGGATACAAGAGTAAAAATCATTTACTGCTGAAAGGCTGGTAATCTCCATTGTTGAAGACATGGGAAATTTCTGTACCAATTTGCAAACACTTCTCGGTTTGTATCTGCAAAAAAATATCAAATGAATGTTCGTGCTAATGAAATAAGTTATGATTTGTGGCCACCAGTAAACTCCCATTGGAATCACAAAGCAAATCAAAATGCTTTCTTTCATTACGAAAAATTAAAGCCACAGATCTTCCAACTCATTGATGAACTCTATTAAAAAGCTTGGCAACAAAACTCATTTGGACAAATAGAAACATGATATTCATATACGTAAGACAGATCTTCCATCAACGTGAAACACTAATTAAATCCTGCATGTATACTGAAAATGTTGGCGAGAAAAATATCTGTTGAATACCAATGAACAGAAAGCAGAAATACCACTAGTTTCAGTATAGCTTTTAATGTGCTGACCATAAGGGCAATAAAATAAGGATAAAACAGTGAGAAAATAATAATTTCCACTTATATGGCAACAGAACAAGGGGCTGATCAACCACTACCAAAAAATTTGGCTTCCCAATGTACAAGGGACTCTTCAAGGTCCAGTGGGATACCTGACAACTCCATGCAGATGTTGCAGGCATGCCAAGCCCTCTAAAATGGCTTCAGACTTATTTATATCATACAACAGAGAACTGTGTTGTGATTCAATCTGATTAGATCTTTCTTTTTACTGAAATATATCAGCACAGACAACATGGATCTGATCATAAATCCACCAAAGTCAACAGAAAACATTTCTCTATGGATAGGTATATGGATATGTTGATTAAGAAGAGTGTGATTTCCATAGAAGTCATCACCTAAGGAATATAAACAGAGTTGTTGATAACTATACTGGGTCTGGTTGAGGTGGAGTTAATTTTCTTCATAGTAGCTTGTATGGTGCTCTGTTTTACATTTGTGACCAAAACAGTGTTAACATGAGGCACTTAGCTATGGCTGAACAGCGTCTGCACAGCAATAAGATATTCTGTGTTTCTCTCAGTGCCCCCAGAGTGAGTAGTCTAAGGGAGTGTAAGAGGTCAGATGGGGACATAGCCATGACCACTTACCTGAATTATTCAGAGAGATATTCCATAACATATAACACCAAGCTCAGCAATAAAACTGCAGGGGGAGCAGGTTTTTGAAGTAGCCATTGCTTGGAGACTATCTGGGCACTGATCTGGTGGTGGGACCAAGCGAGCAATTTGCATCACTTGTTTTTTTTTTTTTCCTCTTTTCTTCACTTAATGGTCTTTACCTCACCCCATGTGTTTTCCTCACCTTTGTCCTTCCAATTCTTACTCCCATCCTACTGGGGGATTCCACTGAGGGAGCATAAGTGAGCAACTGGGTGGGGTCTTAGCTGCTGGCAAAAGCCAACACACCACAATAACTCAATTTCTACATTATATTCTAAATGCAAACACTTCTATGCACTAAAATAATTCCAATGTAACAAACTATCATGCTTCCATTTTAGCATGTCTGTCTAATGATGATACAAAAGTTCATGCATGACACACTTGTAGGAGTAATTACTGTTTCTTTCCAACAATGCTAAAAGTTTGCAAAACTGAGATCATTTGACAAAAGCAATTTGTTTATCAGCCAGATCAGTTCAAAAGAAAAATGATTAATTATTTGCTTTTGCCTTTCTTTGTCATTCTCAAACAATGATCTGCTGAGCTTTTCCAGATAGACATTAGAACTACTTCAGCAGTGATGGTGAAGAAGGTGGTGAAATACAGTGTTTTGCAATTTAATCCAAGAACCTGTTATGGCTTCCAGAAGTATTTTATTCAAGTAAGCTACAAAAATAAACTGTTCTAGACTTCAGGAACAACTGATTCATCTTCATTTTGGGGTAAACATATCCAAGCTAGCTTTAAATAAGCTGACTGAGATAATACGAACAATCTAATGAAGGCAGCATGAAGCTTCCTCTGGTCTAATTTACCTTGCTGAAAGAGCTTACTAAAATAGTTAGATTGCTCCCAAATGTAAGAATAATTGTTTTGAGTTAGCTGAAATAACTCTTTTCTACAGTGCAGTCTGCTACATAGATAAACACCTCACAGGGTGTTTCCCAGATAGAATTTCACCTAGTAAGCAAATCTTCAACCAGCACAGTAAACTGAGATTCACCAAGTACAAGTTAGGACAAAACTGAACCAAGGTAACAGGAAAATAAATAGAACAAGAGTTCCCATTAGCAAACAAAAAAAAAAAAAAGAGGAATTTTAATATATTTAAGACCTCATATTTTTTGGACACAGTGCATTTGCCACGTGTTCTATACACACTCAATTCAAAGTTGAAGTCAGCTAAAATTCAGGCAGGCATTGTGGACACACTGAGCTGGACACTATACATTAGTTCTTGTCTCTTATAGATTGAAGTTTATATAACAATTTAAGTTACCTTTTTATTGCTTTAATAATACCTCCACTAACTAACAATTAACAGGCAACACAGAAGGTAGGTAATCAGTTTGAGAAAGAAAGGTATTACATAATTCAAACAGACAGAAGACAAAAGCTTAAATGCCACTCACTTGTAATATATAAGAACAGAATTTGAGAATAGAAATGCATGTTGAAAGGTAAGCAAAATTGCACAATCTACAGATTAATTTAAAATCATTTCCTGTTTACTACAGAAAAGATTTCTATATATCTTACAAAGGGCTTGTTGAAGAACTAATCAGAGGAATTAATCGTCAAGGTCAGGTGTTTGTAATGTTTATCAAGATAAAGGTGTGAATAGCACACAAAGGAAAAGCTTTTTAGATTGTTGAAAGATATTGCAACTTATCAATAAGAATGCACATTTAACAAAATTACTGTGCTTTTGTCTGCAGAAAATCTCTGTAATTTCTTATATTCTGCATACTTTGGGGATGTAATAATTTTGGGGGAATACATTTACAGTATATAGTTATTTTCAGGAGACTGGTGTACCTTCAGAAATAAAATATAAAAGCAGATTCTAAGATATAAACACTTCCTGCAATGAGTGCAGAGACTGATGTGTCTACTTTCCAGCACATTTGAAGTCCTTTGCTGAAAGCACTTTTCAGGAGACCCAGATAAAGTAGAAATATTTTGATGACAAAAACTTCAATGTATGGAAGTATGTTACTATGATAAATCCAGAAGACAAATAAACAACTAAAAAAGACCCCTCCTAAAAAAAAAAAAAAAAAAAAAGGATCTGACATTTAACATTTTAAGGAAAATATCTGCACATGACAAAGTCAAAACTAAGTGACAGACCACAAACATCATCAGTATAACAGATCATAGGGTTTCAGGCTATTAAAAACATATTTATATGCACTGTAAAAATCAATCTTCAAGCAGTAGTCCCATTGTATATTTCTAGACACAGTCTTCAGTTCAGCAGAATAAGAAAATCAGCCACATGAAAAGAATCACTTCATCTTCTAGAACACTTAGAATTTATAAATGAAAAATATTCTCTCTTACACTATGGAGGAGGGTGGGTGTCATTCACTGACTCTATGTAATGAATCTTAGACATAAAAAAGATAAACACGGGAAAATTTAAGCATTTAAATGTTGCTGGTAGAAGATTGTTAGAATTCATCTTATGACTTATGTACTTCTCATCTAACTTCCATTCTGTTTCTGATAAAAAGCAAAGTGTGTTTAAGTTCTTTGATGGCTGAAGCTCAAAGAAACCAAGTTTAGAATATTCTTATTATCATACTGCTGAATCAGGTCTGTGTAGCCCATTTACTTAAGAAATTTAAGCTGGCTTAAAGTGGTTTGCATGAAAATAATTATCCTGTTAAACTTTAATTTTCAAGAAGTACCTGAAATGAACACGGTCCTATGTATCACTAGCATGCTAAATTTTAAATCCACTTTGCGTGGCCTTTGCTCTATCCATCTCTATGTTCTAGTATAGCTTCCTATTTCATTAGAGTAGATATTTTATCATTACTTCCCTTACTGTATGTATGATTACTACTAGTTGCTAAATATAATGGCTTTAAAAGACACTGTTTCTGTTAACGGAACACAATTTTCTCATTTTTAAACTCCTTTCAAGTTGCTTATTCTGATCTTCAAAACAGTACAGAAAAAACTATAAAAATGAGATAAAAACCCATAGATGTTTTGTTCTGCTCAAATTCTTATGTGAATTAAAAGTAATTAAGAATTTTAAAAATCATAATAAACTGAGAAGCAAATATTTACGCCTCATATCAGCATGCAAAACCGCTGATGAGAGTGGAAATTCGATGGTAATTTCAGAGAACATAATAAAAATTGGTTAAGTTGTGAATCATTTTGAGATTTATCATAGAAGCAGAAGTCAGGAGATCCGTATCCTATTACCAGAACTGCAATAAATCTCCTCTATGACATTTGTAAATAAGGATATATTTAAATAAGCCAATAAGGAGTATAATATTGTTTTTTCTTATTTCCTCTTCTCAATTTCACCTTTAAAACTGAACCAATATCTGACCATTTAATTCAGTTGTTGTAATGCTTAGTTAATTAATACCTATGGGAAGTTCTTTGAAAACTCTGCACAGAGAAAGAATGAGACACAGATTTGTCATTGTACTGTCTTCAACTCTGTAATACATTGGTTAGCCAGGCTGCATTGCCGTGCTCTTCTGATTAAGGGTATAAAGCATGTTTGGGGCTAGATCTATTGTCTTCTTGAATCTGTTCCATTCAAGCACTCTTCCAAACTTTACTCAGAAGACAGAATGAAAGAGTTGTGAGAAATAAAAGGAATGATGCAGTGTTCAAAAAAAGAAAGAAATGCTGAAAAATTAACTGGAGGGATTCCACAAGAAAATGTCAAAGCAAATTAACCTTTAATACCTTTTCTTTTTATAGCTATAGATACAGATATAACCAGGCCTCAGACTGGTTCGTGGATTTGTTGTAATATCTATATTTGTGTGCTTGGTGTTTTGGCATTAGACTAATATCCCAGAGAGTCTAATTGCATATTTTTGAGTTCGTGTTAATGTATCAAGAAAAACTAAGACGTATGCAATAACAAAATTCTGCTAGAAGCACATCAAGTTCCATATTGCCTTTTGTTTCTGAACTAACTAGCTTAAGGGTAGTTTAGACAAGTCTTCCACAACAGTGACTGCAGTATGGATGTTCTTCAGGTTACTGGATACTTTGGTCTGGGAGGCATGGGTATTTATTCAAAAAAAAAACCCAACAATGGAGATATCTAGAGCCAGCACATTATATACTACAACAAAAGTTCCTTATTAAAGCCTAAGCCCCTACAAATAGAAGGAAAAAATATTTTAAACTAAATCTTAAAAATTAAAAATACTCAGAAGGCGGAAGGATCTAAGATACCAGAACATGATTTTCCATCTTCTTTTTCTACATTCCTCCACAATTGTTTGTATAAATTTAAAGAGTTAAGAACAGTATGAGGGAAGAAGTTGCCTGCCTCAGTTTCCAAATATTACTTGTTTACACTATGAATAGATTTCAAGCAAAACTGGAAACAGGAATCACTTTTCCTGCATTCCAGGTTCTTCTTGTACTATTACACTTTGCTACAGGGTAAGCACTTCAGAACATGAGATCTCTGTAGAACCAGTTACAAGAAAAAAATGTCAATGGGGAAAAAAATCCTTTCAAAAAACTTGTGTCACTCTTTCAGTATTTTCTTTTCATTTTATTCTATTATTAATGTAATGCATACACTATAAAATCAAAGCAGGAAATTTTGTATTCCTTTGTATTTAGTTTTCCAGTCTATTTGCTATATTCCCATCCAAATAGAGTATATGACGAAAATAACACGAGTCACAACACTCCCCTCCATTAAGGATTTTGACCAGAAATGAAAGGTAAAGGATCACAAAGGACAGTGGATTAACTGTAAAACCACCATTAATTAATAATTTTGAAGATTTTTTTCAATGGAAGTTAGATCATAATCCATTGGCTACTTTTTCAAATAAGAAGGAATTTATGTTCTTAAGAAAGTGTGTTTTAAAAAAGTGATATAACTTCACATTTTTTCTCCTTTTGTTTTCCGTATGAACATTTAAAGTTTCAGTGAAGTTCCACCTACCAGGTTGATGCCTCATTCAAGGAAAGCACTCCTATTCACAAACATATTTAAGCCTGTGCTTAGTATGTTTATCTGTGCAGGGGAAAAACTACCAAGGAAATAGGCCAGTTTATCCCATCTAACGATATATCCCAATACTATTTAATATCATAAACAGATAGAACACACCATTCACAATATCAGCTAATTGACTTCAGTGTTGTAACCTTAATTCTGTTTGTCCTTCCACTCAAAATCTAAAGTCATAATATCAGACAAAGAAAAATACCTCTTCAAGGTGTTTTAAATGCTATTGTCTCTAAACATATATGTATGTTTATATTATATACATATATACATGCATATATGTATATATATGTATTTGAATGTAATAGTCTCATATACACAAATACAGCTGAAAGCCAGCAAGAGCAAATGAAGAGCAGAGAAACTTGGCAAAAAAAGGATACAAGGATAGTTTTAGCGCCACTTACAAACTGAAAGAATAGAAAAGGTATATCAGACACTTAATAAAAGAACTTATTCCAAGCCAGAAAGAAGGAGACACAAAATGATAAACAGAATAGTATTAGTATAAAGTGCATGAAGGATGCCTAGCAATGAAGAAATTTTTTTCTATTACTCCAGAACAAAGGTATTTTTACAATTAGCTTTTACAACTTGTTCAGTTTTTTAATTCTGTAATATTCTTGCCCCCCAGACCACCTCACCACCCAGAACATCACAGATCAAGCAGTATAAGTACTCTAACTGGTCTGTTAATGAGAAATTGTCCTCACCGTTTGAGGTCATCCTTGGTTGTATCTACATGGAAATTTAGCAGATGAAATTCAGCTCCACAACACAGCAATATAAATGCATCTATAAAATAAAACTGTGCAAAGCGTACAGTCTTATGGAACTTTTCTTTGCCCTGAAATGAAAAAAAAAAATATTAAGAATGGATTCTAAGATAACAAATAGTTTTTGTCTGAGATTCCTGGTTTTAAGGCATAGTCTCCCTGTAATCCTGATTATATGCCAGGAGGTTAACCTATTATGTAGTGGCCCTTCCTATTTCTGATGTCTATTAATCTCAAAATAAAGTTTACTGCCAACTAATTTAAGTAGAATGAAAAGTTGATAGTATCTGTAGTCAATTAAATCTAATACAATCTAGCTTCATACACTAAACTTCCATTTGAATTGGGGAGTAGACTATAAAGTCGAGCAGAGCGGAGATAATGAAAATAGAATATACTGAGCAGACAGTAAAACCAAAACTTCCAGACTTTGCCTACCAAAGCTGTTTGTTTTTGGTTTTTTTTTTTTTCTTTTCAGAAACTATCATGATAAAAGCCTAATCTGAAGTCAATGGAGACCACCAAATCACAGTATCAGTTAGAATCACCACCACTGAGGAGCTCTGAAAATCAGTACATTCCTTCTATAGATCTGTTAAAGTGCAAAACAGTGTCCCCTGTGAACCAAACTAACAGAAGTTTCTAATTACCAGAATTAGGGCAGGTTCCTTATTGCAGACTGACCAGATCCTTAAAGTTCTGTCTTCTGATGCAGAAACTAACCACTTCTTGTCATGACTCCAGCCAACAGAGTTAAGTGCACCATCATGACCTAATAAAAACAATAACAGAAATATCATAATGCTCATTTCTTGCATTTATACATTTCTTCAGAGCGAAACATTCTGTTTTAATATAATCATATACAATATTAAAATATATATTTTAAATACAGGCTTCAAATGGTTGGATTAAAACTGATAACAGTAAACCAGTTATTGATTTTTTTCAAAAACCATGAAAAAATGTCTCATTAATGATTGGACAATGATAATTCTGACTAATTTTTCAAAGTTACTGGAAGAGCATTTTCAAGAAATATCCTTGAAATTTACATTAAGCAAAGACACAGTATTACTCAATAAGAGAATCTGAGTATTATATTTTTATATTTAACATGATCTGGAAACTACTTAAGACCTTGCAAATAGTTGTAATACTTTGGTTTATTCATTAGGCTTTTATTACTGTGTTAGCTGCTTTTGTGAAAACGTAATGAACATGCCACTACAACTTCTGAAGGAATGTCTCATTAGATTAAAAAAAGTAACTGCCTTTTTAAAAATTGTAGTTTAAAGTATTATAATCTCCAGTTAATAGCAAAAAACTTCTACAAGAAACAGACTTCCAGTTTGGTGTCATACAGTTAAAAACAAGATTAGAAACTTACAAAGAAAGAACTTCAAAACCCAGAAACATCATCCAGAAACTAAAATTATTAATCTAATTGAAAATTATATTGATGCTGAACAAAAAGGTCAAAAAAGAAGAAATTATGTCAAACAAATTTAACAAACTTTGGCCCATATTATTCTAATTTGCCCAGATGAAGTCTGATGAATTTCATCTAGCCTTAAAACATTCAAAGCTCTTATGCTGCCCTCTTGTGCACATTTTCTCTTTAATCAACTAAAGTTTTATATAAAAAAAAAAATTGATTGCTTTAAATTACAGGAAGGCTAATCAATTTATATCAGCAATGAAGATCTATGATACTATATATCTATAAAAATGTTTATAAACAAGATATTTTAATTCATAGTTACTGAAGACCTATAGATTTTTCACCAGAAAACTGAATAGGTACTGGATAAATATGTATGTAAGTACTACACTAATTTTACTCTCAAGGATCTATTGGTTTGGGTTTTGCAAAAACATTTGGAAGCCTTGAGTTACCTGCATTAAAGAAAAACAAAACTAAGCAAACAAAGCAACTTACCAGAATATACAAAAAAATTTTCCAAAGTGGTAAGGAACATGAGAAACTTTAGGAAAATCTGAGGTTTGGAAAATTGGAAGAGCCATTCAAAAACCTTAAGAATCTCTGTGCTCCAGGTCCCCCAGTCCCAAAGCACAGTGAAGGAGACGCCAACTGGCTTACAAGAGGCCAGTAAGCTTCAAAACAGACATTATTCTGGGTTCCCCAGTCCTGAAGCATATTGAGAAGCAGAGTAGTTGCTTTTGTAAAAAGACTTCTTCAAAAGGGCCATGCTGGCTGTAACTGTTTTAATGCTGGTCAGCATTACCTGCACTTCACTATGGGACACAGACATCTGAAGAGCCAACACAGAAGAGGAATGCAGAACTACTTAAAACTATAACTGAGCACTTCAGGGAACAAAACTGAATAAAATCAGGTTTATAGCAAAACTGCTGTTGTTATACCATTCCTCTCTGATGGTGCATGATAAAAATATGTTATTCAATAATCAGCTATATTCAGATGTAAATACCACCTTGAAATTAAAAAATTTTAGCAGAATATTGTTGCCATTTCTTGGAAAGGGAAAATTTTACATCACCATTAATTGCAGCTCTGAATAAGAGTAATGTATCATGGGTTTTAATGAAAAGAAAATATATTTATTATGACACGTGGAAACCAAAGGCATCTAGAATAGAAAATAAATAGGTGATTTCATGCTAATCTGAACTGTAAAGAAGTACTACAAGAATGAAATAAGCACATAACTGATAGTTTGTGATTCCCACTCCCCTATAGTACAGTATCTGACAGTTTCACATTTATGTTGCTTTTGGAAAGAATTAGAGGCACAGGCTGCATTTTTATGCTATCTACAGAGCCTGAAGTAGAATGTGGCCTACACTTCTTTTCAGACTGTGCATCATAAAAAAGCCATAGAATAAAGAATGAAAAGTAACAATGAAATAAATTAGTAGTGCAAAACCTAAGAAAACTAATAGAACAAAGTCAACTGTCAGAAGAACAATTTAGTAATAAATTTAAAAAAAAAAAAAAAAAAGCAAGAGAAAGAACTAGTACTTGATGCCTTACCTACAGGCACCAAAAAAAGCTTCTCTACTAGCATGAAGTTTGGTACAGATCACTTTACTCTTATCACCATAAATTAGCCCACATTTGTAGAGTACTGCAACATTTTAGGGAGCTCTGGATGTTGAAACATCTTATGAAATCATAATACTTAATTTTAATTCATAGAAAGACAAAGCCTTTCATTAATAATACGTCAAAATGTAAGTACAGTTTCCTTCATGATTTAGAGTAACATGAACTAAGGTTTTCTTTCAAATTTATAAACCTCTAAATTTTAATTTGTTTTCTGCTTTCAAATATGTCTACTTTGATGAATATTGTTTCTTATTAAAGTGTATGTTTTCTGTTATTGGCAGTATCGAGTCATTCCTTAGATATTAGTATATAGCAAGAGAGAGCAATTAGTATATAGCAAGATATAGCAATGTAATTAGTATCTTCCCCTGACATGAAACAAAGATAAAACCCAGCTATTACCAGTCCAAGATCAATGAAGCTGGCATAAAAGCAAACCCCAGTTAAAAAAACATCCAAACAAGAATATTTCACAGAATGGAAATGCGACTTTCTGCTGCACATAATCTCTATATGCATTCTTGTAAAACCAGCCTGTCTAACCTCTTGACAGTGTTTCACATAAAGAGAAGGTGGCTCTGGGAAGCAAAAGACAAAATGCAAAGACCAGCTACAGAACGCACACTGTACAATGATAATTCATAGCGTCATGGAATAATTTTGCAGCATTTATGATCTACTTCATGTTCAGAGTTGCCCTGCTACCAAAAGACTTTAAAGTTCTTGAAAATCATTTACATCTTAGCTTCTTCAGTTTAGTTTAAAAAGATGTGTTACCTGAAGACACACTGAATTCTTTAGACACAACTTTGTTAAACTGCTGTGTACCAAATACTGTAGCAGTACTGTATCATTATTTTTATAGATGCTTGTAACAAGTATGGGAAGGAAATACAGGATTTTGATCTTTTCTGGTTAATAGTATTTTTTAGAAATCCATTCTAGAAGAAATAGTCTAAAACAATGTTATATTCCAGATATATGGGGTCCCTTTGGAAAAAATTGTTGCTTTCATTTCAGTACTACTTAAATAATAAAATTATGTCAAAAAAACCCTCAAAACACTATTCCTGCCTACAGTTTATATGACTTGCACTATGAATTTAATCAAATCAGTCAGTGATACATGAAGAAAAATATTTTTTTAAGTTTATGAATTTGCTATTGTGGAGAAAAAAGACCTTGCTACCCTGTCTACAAGGCATATTTTCATCAATTTCCTCACACAAAGAGGACGGTATCAGTAATGTGGCCTCCATTAGTTGTCACAGTGCCACTGCTTCTTCCACTGAATAGAATTTAAATTACTCCCAAAATCCCCAGTTTTCAGAAATCAGTTATCAGAGTTATCTACTTAGAGATAATTCTCTAAAATAACTTAGAAGAGTCTACTTTTATACTTGTTAAGGCCTGCTTATGACAGTCATCTTCCATTAAGAACTTCCACAGAAAATTCATTTAGCAGGACTGATTTAAAGCCATAACATTTACTGTTATTAAAAATTTAACAGATAGTTCTTCTAGAAATTTAGAATTATTTATTTTCTAAGGTTCATTTACAGTGTTAAGTAATGCATGTGTTTGCACATGCATACACTTTTACAGATATGGATTTCTCCATAGCAATAGTCCCTTTTTTAAAAACAGTTATTCTTTAGAAGTTGGGAGATGCAAACCAAACACATTTTTTGTGAAATCACCACAGTCATTTTTTTGGATAATAATCTAATACAATACACTACTGCAATGTACACATGTATTATCATTACAATATATTGTCTTTATTATTTCTATTTCATTATTTTAATATACATACACAATGAAGACTGCCATATATATCATGATAGATTACTATTTACATCTCTAAAAATTAAGAAATGGGAAAATCAGTAGGCAATTTTATTCTAGAACAAGATTAACCAATCAGAGAAATAACTTCATAACTTAAATCAGCGGTATCCCTCTCCTTCATTCTTCTCAAGGTGATGTAAGTGGAATGTTTTAATTACTATGCCATTTTGGATTAAACTCAATCATATACTATTTCTTTAATAATGTAATTCATAAATTTACCTGAAAAGACATTATACGTATCGGTGAGATCGGAACTGAATATCAGTACAGTTTTGTCAGCCAGGCCACAAGCCAGCATCTCTCCATCCCCTGTAAAGAGTGTCTCATGTTTTATATTTGAAAGCAACAAGGACATAATGTGCTGTTTCTTTTAATCATTAAAAATCACATATGTCACTACAATAAAACACAAACCAGATATTATTTCCTACACTGGTAGGAATTTGTATGCAATTCATTTCTTGTTCTGACATATTCTCAAAACCATTATTCATCATAAGGCAGAAATTCACTTTTCACAAAAAAAGTGCTACAAAAATTTAAGTACAAAAATTTTTAGCAGTCATTTAAATCTATTTCCTTACACTCATTTGTTAATATCTTCTTATTACCTTCTTATTAAAGTCATATCACCTTTTCTTATATATTACAATAAAAAGTTCATATTAGTCATTCTGGATTGCTTCTTAAAGATGATAAATTTTCTTCATAAGGTAATCCTGAAAACTATCCAAGTGCATTCAGACTGTTCATTTATGCTGGTGATCAGTGGGAATACACAATGACAGGGTAGACTCCCTTTATGACTACATAATGGCAGTGATTTGTGAAATTTAATTGTTTGCTCAAAAACTTTTCCTGAAAAAAATTAAAATAATAAAGAGCAGATACATGAACCAATGAGAAAAAATAAGGGAGATTGGAGAAAGAGAAGACAGCAATGAGAGAAAATATAGAAATGGAGTGCAGAATTCAAATCACTGCTATGAAGTTCACTGTGAAAAGTCTTTTTAAAGGGGTACCACCTGAACAGCCCCTTCATAAATCTTCAGAGCATGTTTACAAAGGGAGAGGAAATAAGAGTCATGCTTGACCTCACCAACATTATGCACTGCTATTCACTGTCCAAGTGTCATCCACATTGCACATTCAATACTACATTTCACAACACATTTTTTTCCCAAATTATGGCAACATAAACAAATAAGAGATCCATATTTCTAATCTCTGAGAGTCATCTAATAAAAGTGAGTTTTAAGTGAGACACACGATAGGGTAAGAAGAGGCATTCCAGAATCTTTTCTTCTGTTATCAGTTATGTACCATCATACTAAACTGGCAAAGAGCTGCTTTATAAAACTATTTTGCAGTTTATCTGACCATTTCAGTTGACCTTTTCTCCCAGTACTAGTAATTGCACATACTAAATAATGCTGTTAAATATTTTCATCACAAAAATAAGATAAGTAGTTCTGGACAAAATATTCCAAAAAGTGCATGCCCCATAAACTTAAAGGTATGAAGTCTTTGAGCTAAAGGGTGGTGCTCTTCTGCAGGTTTCCCCCACTTTTCCTAAAGTTTTGACAGTATATATTTTCAACTTGAGAACTGATTGGTAAGTATATCAGGTAAGGGATATAAGTCACACACAGAGAATATATAAACATTCTTGTGCACACACAATGAGAGAAAAAAATCTTGCAAAGAATTTTGGAGGCTTGCTCAATGGAACAATATCTCAAATTCTGAACTGTTTTCTAAACAGAGCAACAAGTCATAACATGTAACACCTCCAATACTACAAAAGGATGTTTAATAAATCTAAGAAGGTTTGTATTAACTCATTAATGCAACTGTACAGTCTCTTGTTTTATTTTAGTTTTCTATTTCATTTTCTTTCTACTACATTTAGATGCACATAAATATTATTGTGATTCATACTTTACAAAGACCACTTGAAAGATTGTTCCAAGCTGCAATTTCGAATTTGCAAGAGAAAATATACTGTTAAACCTAAGAACCATCCGATCAACACAGACTCTAACAATAGAACTCATTTTTACAAGCTTACATTATGATGATTTTTTTATTCCAAGAAAAAAAAAATATCTGCAATTTTTGCTAAATCTTGTTTTGCTAAACTGTGGTTAAGATGTGTGTGTGTGAGACAGACAGGTGTTCCTTCCTGAAAGTAAAAGGATTTATACTTAAAATGCATTATCAAAACTATAACATTTCTTTTCTTTGGTAAAAAAGAGCTTTTAGTTTTAAGTGCACATAACATTCATAGAAATAAACTCTCTGCAACCAACTTCTTTCGGGAGCCATAAAATAATTTCTTCCCGTTCTCAAGGGAACAGAGAGATGGCTGGAATATATTTTAGAAAAGCTACTGATTGCATCGAATTGGTTTTATTTCCTGAAGATGAAAGTTGCTCTTGTCCTCAAAATATATATAAAGACACATCTTTTTAGATACTTTGAAAATATTGTGGTTTGCAAAGTGTACACTGACATGATTATATACCTGGTAATACATCTGATTGCTAATCTAAAAAGTTGTTCCTGTATAATCATATTTATGTGGACTGGAAATGACTAATTACAAGACACTTCCAAAGCAGGTAAGAAGAATACTCTTCTTTGGATTATATGGAAGAATTCTTTTTTTTATTTTATTTTACTATATAAAAACTGAATAATATTTGCATAAGAAATTTTGAAACAGAACTTCAGCTTTTAATACACCCTAATGACACTAAGTATATGTCTCATAAAATAAATTCCTTAGTGAATGAACTCATTAGACCACTAATTTTCAAGTTGCAGTGGTAAAGCTATAGAAAAAGTCCAAAAGGAAACAAGATGTAAAATCAGAGAATTAGAATCCTTTCGTGTACATGTTGGCAGCTTACACAGTTTTGCAAGTCAAAAAATTATCAAACAGAACATGATATTGCCAGAAAGTTTTCTGGGAATTTACCTAGTAAATCCATGGTCTTAATAAACCATGTCTCACAATTTTGGGGTTTTTTTCCTGCACACTGACACAACTGTACATACCAGAATACTGCATGCAACAAATTGGTGTTGGTTTAGAAGTAACAGATATCTCTTTCTCATACTTGACTGGAGGATAACTTTCCAATGGATATTCTTTGGTTTTACTTCAAAAAAGAAAAAAAAAAAAAAATTACGATATCTAAACCCAGCATATTTTCATTTCAATTATGAAATAAATGTGTTTTGGGAGCTATTCTAAACTTCTTTATTTAAATATTTCCTGGAAAATTTATGTTAAATCTAAGATGAGGCAGAATGAATTTTAGATTGTCATACTTAAATTAGTCTTATCATCAACTGTTATGAATTCATGAGATCAGAATTAACATGGACTTGTACATAAGATCAAATTTCTTAAGTTGCATACCTATCTAATAAAAATGCAAATTCTACCTTGTTGTGACAATAAGGAATATGAAAAATATCTCCATACATAAAAATAATTACAGTGATCATCTATTTAAGAAGATACTAAAAAAACCCACACAAAGTTCTAAGTAGCTTAACCTATCATAAATTAGTGCAAACCAATCTTGAAAGGATCTGAAGTGCTCATCTAAAGACTTGCCTATGTGTGCAAGGATTACAAAAACTTAATCTTGAGCTATCAAGAGTTTAAGAAACAGGTTTTCTAAAAAAAGAAAAATGATGGCATTAATCATTCTTTATTTTTGTTTGTACCACATAGAAGAAAGACTTTATATAATACTAAAGAGAAAAAATGTGTGTAATATCCCTATTTAACTTCAATTAATATGAAAATGTCAACTCTAAAAAAAATATTCAATCTATTCATTCTTTGCGTCCACAGTGATGATGAATCCACTGGTCAAACTGTACCATTATGTATACTCTATTTAAATCCATTAGAGTAAGTTTGCATTAGCTTAAAATAACATGATTTATGCGTGAATGAGGCATCTGATCTGAAATCACTAAATCTTACTGTGCCACATTCAGTTATTTTTGTGATTACAATTGCATCTTAAGAACATGATAGGACTATGCTTCCAACTATACTTATCACATGCTCTTTATAGCAACACAAGAAAATACATATACATTTTTTCTTTTATATGTAGGATTTACTCAAATTTAATTGATAAGCTGATAATCTGAATCACTTGTTGAAGTCATTTTATAACAGATTTACAAAGCCTTTTAGTTCCAGTGATACCAGTAATGAAACTACAAACCGTATTTCCAGAAGAACTGTACTTATCCTCATTTTAATTTGCTCCTCCTCTAATGAAACTTCTAGATTACCTACCGTTTACAACTGGTTTTCCACTTTGATACCTCATTTTTCTTCAGGTTATTATTTGGAGAAAACATGGTCATTCTACAAGAAAAAAAAAAAACAAAACAAAAAACACAGACTCTCCTATATGAAGCATTAAATTTTCATGAGAAAAATAGTTTGTTTCAAACAAAAAACAATCCTGCTTCCTTCCCACTATTTTTCTGCTAGCAATGTCAGTAGGTAAGATAACATACACATTGATGACAAGATAACATTCTAATGATCTAATGCTCAAATTTGAACTTAAATTTTGCTTTTTTTTAACTCATAACAAAATGTTATTTGTTGCATAATGCATTGTGAAGGTCAAAATCCATTCATATAAAGGTTCTCAGACATTTCTTTCTGCAAGCTGAATAAACAAGAGTTTAATCATATGAAAGAGACACAATGCCTGATATATGTTTTGAAAGGAAGTTGAACACTGACCAGAAGCTGCAAAAATTTTGGTTTACAACATGATTTTAAAATTATTTTCTTTGATAAAATCATATCTGTTTTTCACAGGTAATCAATTTCACAATCATGAGACTACATGGCTTCATTATTTGACAAAATATCACATACAAATAAAACAGACAAAATACTAATGTACCTACTCACCGTGGTGCTGCTGTATAACCTGATGACTTAATTTTATTATGGAAAACCAATGGCTGATCTTTCATTGTGCTTTTCACTCCTATAGTAAAATAATTAAATTTTCATTAAAATTTTTTAACTTCATATTTTTAAAGTTAAGGTAGATACTTAGCTAAGTTAGCACTGTAAAAAATTCGATGTCTCCTTATGTTACAAAACACATTTATGACCAACCACTCTAAAATAATAATGAGATAAATATGAACTGGAAAATGAAATATTAAATATATTCATATTAAATAGAAAATATTTTTCATATTAAATATGAAAAAAAAACACCAAAGCAGGTAATCAAAGTTAAGAAAGAAATTATGAATTAGACGGAAAAATTTTATGCATTTTATGGAAAATGAATGACATGAAAAATTTAAACATTCTACACTCTAACTCTTTGAAAATTCACAAAAAATTCTCAGAGGATTGTTTCTGAAAGAAGAAAAATACATTATTAGAATCATTTTCAATACAAATACATATGTAAGATAAGAAATACTACTAGAAGTATAAAATTCTTCCTACTAATATAAAAATATAATGCAATATATATTTAAAACAGAAATCAATATATTGATTGTATTAGGCACAAGCCAGTTGTGAATCAGTTACTGTTATTAAAAATATAACTTTATTAATTCCTTTCAAGACTAGTTTATACTTACCAATTGTTTTACTAGCAGGTTCTTTCATGTTTTTCTTTAAACCTTTACACAATGGAGAATTTGTCAATAAAGAACACCTAAGTTATAAAACCAAGCACAAAAATCAATCAATGCAATAGACAAAAGCATCAAGTTAGGAAATGGTGTTAAAATTCCTTTTCAGTGTGAATGTGTGTATGTATATGTGCAATACCAATGAGCTTTTCACAAACAGAAATAAGGCATAGTGGACTAGTTATCAGCTCAGATTCCCAGTAGTACAGATGAGCCTTGGCCCTGACTAGATTCACAGACCATTGTATTTACATGTTAAATCCCATTTCTGTGAATATTAACTGATTATTTTATTATAAGCACTGAAAGCTGCACTTCAGTGAATATTGTATTGTGCTTGATCAACTTGATAAACTTCTACAATAAAATGACTGGCTTGGTAGATGGAGGGGAAGACAGTGGCTGTTGTCTACTCGGAATTCAGTAAGGCTTTCCACACTGTCACCTATAAAATCCTCATAGAGAAGCTGATGAAGTATGGGCTAGATGAGCACACAGTGAGGTGGACTGAAAACCAGATCAATGGCCAGGCCTAGACAGTGGCCTAAAGTCTAGTTGGAGGCCAGTAACTAACGGAATACCCCAGGCATCAATACAGGGTCCAATTGTGTTCAACATCTGCATTAATAATCTGGATGAAGGAGCAGAGGGTATCCTCACCATGTTTACTAATAACACAAAAAACTGAGAGGAGTGTCTGATACAACAGAGATTGTGCTGCCATCCAGAGATATATCCGCAGGCTGGAGAAATGGGCTGACAGCAACCTCATGAAGTTCAACAAGGGGAACTGCAAAGTTCTGCACCAGGGGAGGAACAAGCCTATGTACCAGTATATGGCTGTAAGGAAGACTCTAGAGCCAGGCTCTGTGCCCTGTGAAAGGATAAGAGGTAATGAGCAAAAACTGAAATACAGGATGTTCTGTCTGAACACTGGAAAGCACTTTTTTCCTGTGAGATTGACTGAGCACTAGCACAGGTTGTCCAGAGAAGTGATTTCTTCCTCCTTGGAGATATTCAAAAGCCATTTGGATATGATGCTGGGCAACTGACTGTAGGTAGCCCTGCTTGAGTAGGGCAGTTGTTGGACAGATGACCTGAAGAGGTGCCTTACAGCTTCAACTATTCTATGATTCTGTGATTTCTCCCACTCAGTACAACTAAAGCATGACAGGAAAACAAGTAAAATAAAACCACTTCAACAAATAGCACTATACAAAACCATCTGATGCACTTCAGTATCAGGAAAAAAAAATGCATAATCCAACTCAAAGAAAATTTAGTTATTCTGTACCTGGCAATAACTGATAGACTATTCTTGTTTCCACATAGGAGAAAATCACTTTGCTGACTTCTCACCAATGCAGCAAGGTTAACTTCAAACACAGCAAACACATCTTCAAACATTGAAGTGATCAAGCATAAAACCTGCACCAGTAATTATACCATAAAATAACACTACATTTACTTCATAATTTGAGCATCAATACTGAAGAATTTATAATAGAAAATTAAATCACTTTCTATTGTTTGTGAAAATTAATCAAAAATAGCCATTGTTTTAGTCTTGCAGAGCTTAAACAGTAAAAAAGGGTTAATGTTGTCCTTCAAAAATATGCTTATGTTGCTTAAATATGTGTCTTAACAGACTTGCATACATAACAGTCACAGAAATTCCATTACCTTCTACAAAAGAGATACTTCTGCAGTAAGGGTTGTGAAAAAAGAAGCACACATGGAAGAAAGATTAGTTTCAGAGACATGCTGAGAACATGCTAAGAGCTGAATTTAAAACAAAATCCTTTAAAACCAAACAGTGCTATGTTAAATATGTAGAAAGGCTAAGATCCAGCTCAGTTCTGTAGCAAAACTGTAATATCAGAAATGGAGTATACAGACAAGAATGCTTTTAATTTCCTTAAAAGCAGTTTTAGTGACTTTCCACAGAAATTTTCCCACAACTCAAATAGTTTTCACAGATTTCTTGGAAGGATTCAGAAGCAGTTCATCCTAACATTGTTTGAGAAACAAGGTGTAACAATGCTTGTATCTTTTTTTTTTTTTTTTTTTTTTTTTTCTCCTAAAAGATTGCCTCTGCTCCCACGGTGATCGTTCTTGACATTCAAAGTCCACACCAAACACTATAAAAAACAGTTCACCTTTTGCTTATTAATCACTTTGGACAGTATACAAACTGTGAGAGCTTTAAAACTACCCAGCTATTAAACTAGTAGATTCCATCAAGAAGAATCAACCTTCTCCAGAGAAACTACTGTGTAATTCATATCAAGCAAATGTGTACATGAATCTGGTAAACAAAATGTGTAATTAATATTTATTAAAAATAACTGGAAATGTAAACATTCATAAAACAATGTTTACTGTGTACTGACCTTTCCATTAACTGCCTGCCTTGCTAATGCACACGATCTCGCAAATCGAATCCTGAGGTCACTGTAATCTTTACCAAAAAGAACACAGTGCTATAAAATTGTATTTTCATTTCAAAAGAAAAAGCTATCATCTCTAAGACAGGAAAAAAAAAATCACTCATACTAATTTGACACCACCATAATCCAGTCTTCAGTGTATATCCTTCTATCTTACCTCCACATTTTAAAGTAGGAGTAAAATAACATTCTTTGTATTTAACACTCATGAACTTCAAAATCAAATAAAAATTCATTGCTACCCACTACAGAAATCTAGTGCTGACAAATTCCCTGACACAAGTCAGCAGTGCCAGAAAAACATACAAAAAAATTAGAAAAAACATTTGTAAAGAAAACCACTTAGTTTCTACTGTATTCTCCTATTTCACAAACGAATTCTTACATTATTTATATCAGATAGCAATTACATCATAATGTAGTCAGATATCTTATAATCATACCTTTGTAAGATAAAAAAGCTTCTAATTCGAAGTTTCCCAAATTAATTATTAACAAGCCAGTAGAGCTTCCTATCCAAAAATAGCTAGTATTCAGGGCAGAATGTCTATTAAAAAAGGAGAAAAAATTATCTGAGTCTGATAAAGAAGCTTTTGTTATTACTATACAAGACACAGCAATTGGGGTTTTGAATACTTGTTACCCAGTCCCAGTACAACAATAATAAACCACACCAAAAAAAAAAAAAAAATTATATTTACAGCATTTTTTAAAAATCTGTAGTTCAAGATAAAAAGTCTTAACCAAAATTGGTGAATCTTTGAAAACTAAGGACACAATCATTGATTTTATGTAAATGCTCATGGCAAGTCTAAAACAGCATAGGAAATACATTGCTTCCAAAATTACTGTGGTTTTTAACAGTTGGAAGATGCTATAAAAGCATGGTATACACAAATAGTAAAATCAGAGAGGCAAATCCATATATATTTTTACTTTTACCACCTGTAATATGAAAACACAAAAAACAATGAAATTTAAATGAGTTTGTACATAGTTAAAGTCCAAGAGGAAAACCAGCACAAACTAAGGAGAAAAAAAAAAAAAAAAACAGGCAGGCCTGGAATGTCTGTCTCAGTCTGTGCTTAGTGGCAGTAGTATTGCTGTTAGGTAATGAAATCCAGCCTTCACAAACACCACAGAGTAGACCAACTGGTTATGTTTTCAGTCAACACCCTCACAGAAGCAAAATATTATCAAGCATAAGATGATTATAACAAAATAACAGTTGTCATTCTCAAAACCTAAAAAATGTTTTGATGACACAGTAAATAAAAATGAATATTAACATTTGAGTAAATTTTCCAAATAAGAGTGAGTAGCCTTATCAGCTTGATTGGTAAAGTCAGACCACAAGAGTTGAAGTAAGGGTATGGAAAAATTTAAAGCTACAACTTGGCATGAAATGACTCAGCACAGCGGCTCAATAAAAAACCCCAGCCAAACAAGCAAACCCAGAAACAGTCAAATACATTAAAAAGCAGACTGAGAAAGACAGTTTCAGTTCTGGTTTGTGATACTTTCATGTGCTCTATATAGTTTTATTTGTGGTTTGCACTACTTCGATGCACAGCAGTAACAGACTGATTTAATTTGTGATTTCTTTGAATTATTTATAAAGAAGTTGCACTATCAAGTTATTATTAACAACAATATCAAGTGATATATACAGGAAGCTGATCTCACGCCCACTTTAAAATAATAAAATGACATCTGCTGTGATGAAATTCCTCAATGTCAAAATGCTTAGGGAAGTATGATACCCACAATTTTTTTGAAATCAGTGTTGAAAAAATGTTTCATTGTTGTATTTCATGGCAGGCAGGAAAAGTGGTAAATTGGGGACTGCTTAGTTGTTCAGACAAATCTGAACCACCTGCTAAAACCAACACATGGTAATTTAAAAGTTAAACAGAAAAGTACTTCTAAATTAAAAACTCTAAAACCAGAAGATAGTGGAACTGGGTTTGTAGTAAGAATTTAATGGTCATGGTTATTTATAAGCAGAACAAAACCTCCAACTGTGATGTGATAGCTGAAAGGGTAGATAGTCCGTAGATGTATAATGCCAGGCAGTATCAGGTGGGTATTGGAAAGTAATGTTATCTCAATTCAGATTTTTTTTATTATTATCATTATTATTATTATTATTATCATCATCATTATCATTATTATTATTATTATATCCACCTATTACTGTGGATCCATTTCAGGCAACCATGTCCAAAATGGGCATTAAAATAGAAAGGAGATTGAATTTCAGAAAAAGTTCAAAAGCAAATGTTTAAAAAGTTACAGAAAACATGCCTTATACAAGGTGCAAACTACTTTATCCAGAAGTGTAAAGATAAGTTATTCATGAGCTAAAATTTGCTATGCAAGGAGGGAACTTGATAGTAGCTGACTCTGGACTATCAGAATAAAAAATATACTAAAGGCCAATAACTGTGCATGAAAAGAGGGCAATTCAGATTAGAAGTCAAATGGAATGAGTTAGTTGCTGGAACAACTCAACTGGGGACATAGTGGATTCTTTATCACTGGAAAATTAAACATCTTCAAAGATGTGCTGTAGTTCAGATCAAACCTATATTTTTGAATTAAGACAAAGTTTTGGTGCTTTGAAAGTGGTATTATACAAGCAATAAGACTAATTGACTGTAATAATACATCTTCTGGCCTTAAGAATTCTGACATTTGTGGTGGTTTAAGCCCTGCCGGGACCGGAGACCACATTGCCGTTGCCCCTCCCCAACCCTCAGCCGGTCGGGCTGCAAGTGAGGCACAAACCCCGGGTTAAAATAAGAAATTTAATACAACAGTGTAATAAGCAATCTGAACAACAACAGTAGCCATGATAACAACAATAAACAGCAATAACAGTAAGACAAAAGATATACAGAGAAATACCACAAATGGTTACGGACAGCCCGCTGCTTCCCGTGACCAAAGCTACAAAGGAAGAAAATTCCTGCACTCCCGCACCCGGACCTAAGGTCAGCATGGTATGAATAACCCAGCTGGAGATCCCTTCCCCGTCTCTGCTGGGGAAACTTAACCCTATCCTGGCTGAACCAGGACAACATTCCATTAAAGTATGTCTCAGTACGTTGTAAAAATTACCACTTCTTTCCTCAAAGCGGTATTCCTTCTGAAAATGAAGGTATCATGAAAATAACTCTTTGTTGATAATTACTTGAATTTGACATGAAGACAAACAAAGTTCTCCAGAACTGCAGGATATTTTTCTTCTGTTTATTGAAATCTGTTTATATACCTAAGCAGAGTATTAATCAGTTATACCTGTACAAACCACCATAGGGCAAAGTGTAGAAGAGTTTCCTACAATGTGATGTGGATGAGAAATTTATCCAAATGACAATTGTAAATAACAACAAAACCAAGTTTTTCTATGAGACAGTTCTTGTGACAGTATCCTGAACAGATTCCCAGGTGCTGGATAATATGGTTAAACTTTTCTTCAGGAAAGAAATGCATTATAAGAATTAATTTAGATATCTCTCCTCTACCTGGCCAAACAATTCCATGGGAAGGAGTAAAAACAGCATGCTTTGAAATGTCTGTCTCTCTGACAGAAGTTTGTCAAGAACAGATTATGTAGTTCAAAAGTTATTTAAATTTGGGAGGCAAATTGACACAGGCACACAGGAGGACTGCATCAGACATTTCCTTAGGAAAGCAAACTAAAAATAAATTTGACTTTTTAATTCTAATTGTCTTCTTAATTATTTTAACTGGTCTTCCCTGATCAACTGGTATCAATAGATGTTAAAATGGATATTCCCAATGCCATTTTTATAAAATTATTTTTTAGACACAAAACCAGTTTTAATTTTGTATTAGTTTGTGTACATTATCTGCTGAAGAGTAGGCCACCAAAACTTGCACATCACTAAATACATTCTTTGACTTTCTTATTGCATTGTTAAAAAAAATAGTAAGTTGCAGTGAAAATAATCCAAGAACCAATAGGAACTCCTAGGAATATATTCTAGCCAAATACTTGGTGGTATTTTAAAGGACTTACATGTTTTCTTCATTATGGAAACATACTAGAAAGTCACAGCATTCAATGAAGAGGACAGGCAATGATGCTTCCACGGATCCTTCTGGTCTCACATTGTTTGTTTTGCAAAGCTTGGAAGTATTTTGCCCTTCACCTAAGAAAGACAATCAACAATATTAACTATCAAAAAACAGTTAAAGAAAGGAAACTGATAGTATTTAAGAGGGAAGTAGTAGAACAACATAAACTAAGATCACACTCAATAAGTTTCTATTTCAAATGATCCTAAGAACCAGACCTCTTGAAATATCTTTCCTCATTACTATGCTATTTTTAGCACCATCTTCTTTCAAATACTTAGAGACAAAATCCAAAGAGCTTACTTAAGGAGTCTGAAGAATTTAGGTGCGTTCACCTCAAAAAGTGACTCTGAAAGCCATATTCCATCAACCCTTAAATGTACTGGATACCTCTCCACTTAGCCTGATAATTCCCTTGACACTAAAGTTATGACATAATTCAAAAACAAGATGGAAAGCCGCCTCAGTTTCCTCTTCCCAAGGAGTGTCCCATCAATTATGCATGTGCAGCTCACACCTAGGAACTACTAGCACTGGATTCAGCATAAGGCACAGAGACTACATCATTCTTCTTCAAACGTTCAGAGATAAAAGTAACATCCATATATTTTAAATAATAACAAGAAATGTAACAAGTCTTTCTCATTAGGTTAGGACCTTAAGGTTATTGAAGCTGGACCACTAGGCAGCTAAGAATACAACAGTCATTGGAGCCAGAAAAAAAGCAATCAAGGGAAAGTAGATCTCCCCTTCCCTAAAGAAAGCTCCCTCTTTTTTGCCTTTAGGAGGACCTCAGCTCACTTCAACTAGTGTGCAGGTAGTCTGAATGCCTCATTTGGAAACATGGAATCACCTTGCTGAGGCTACCAGTGCAGTGTTTAAAGACTTATAAGTACTCTGTGTTATACCACTAGAAATACCACAGCCAGGGAAATACCATATCATGGAGGCAGTGGTATGGATACAAAAAAATAAAAAAATGAAGAGATTCCTAGAAGCTTTAAATGTAACTGACAAATGGTACTCCACTTAGACAATGGATGAATTTTTAGGCTGTGATTCTGCTCTTACTGAAGCCTTGGGCAATGAGTTCAATAAAAAACAAATGCTTAGCATCATGCAATGTTTTATAAGCAGATGCACTGGCCAAGATTTTATTACAGACATACATGCATAATTCTTTCCAGAGATGCCAATACCCAACTTCATATCAGCTTCAGTAAGAATTCCATGCCACAGTCTGATTCGAGGTATGTCACATAATTCTTTCCAGATATGCCAATACCCAACTCCATATCAGCTCAGCAAAAATTCCATGCCACAGTCTGAGACTTGTAACTCTATCACTTATAATAAATTCTCATGGTGTAAGAAGCATACAGTCAGTAGCCAATAACAACTAGAAAATACCATACAGTATTCTAGAAGCACTGTGCTACCTATTTCTTTTCCAATTTTCCACACTTTATTGCAGAATTTCTCTTGCTCTTTCTTTAAGTTGATATGTGTTACACAACGGTAATTATGATCACTGATTAAACTGAAGATCCAAAGCTGCAAGAAAAAGAAGAAGCAATTGCAATAACCTTCTAACACTAAATATAAAGCTTACATGAATACAAACTGAAGGTACAATATTTTAAATGTTAATGAATTTTTGTATCTGAAATCTCACCTTGGATCAGAAATTCAATTATATGCACTTCTAAGATTATCAAAGGTTATATTCAATATTGGCAAATCATCAATTTGAACTGCACATCTAATTCCCAGATTTATGTCTTTGAAAAGAACTCCTCGTAGCCTATTTCCCACAATTAAAAGTCATAGGAAACCTGCATGTAATTGCTCATTGAGTCATGTACATTAATTTCATTTATACCTTTCTCTTTTTAGGCACTGCTATAGTTACAACTTTAATTTCCTTCACCTTTCACTGAATGGCAACACTGAAGGAAAACAGCTGGTAAATCTCATGTAAATATATTCATAACGTTATATTAAAGAGGCAGTGAAATGCATATTCACTTTTATCACATTTTGATCAGAATTCCAACATGCTGAAATCATAATCTCTTCCATTTACTGTCATGTGTTTCATTCTTTTGCCAAATTAGGAGAATCCTATTTTTCACCTATTTTCTTTTAAAACAGATATATTTTTAGCCTCTCAGAGTACTCTTCTTATATAATTACTGATTGTGCTCTTAAAAACTATCCTGACTTTCAGAAAAAAGTTTCCATTTCATAATATAGGTCTTATGTACCATATATGGTTCATGTTCAAAGTATTGAATTATGCTTACTAAAATAACTGTTGCAACAGTTAAAAACATGTATGCAGATTGTGAAGCTTTTGTATATACAGATACATTAATAATAGCTGACTGTTTTGATATAGATAGTGTTTAATGTGTAATTCTTACCGTTCCCTCAGCAGATCCAGCGATAAACTGTTTATTTTCTTCATCAATTAGCAGACTTAGCAAAGGAAATGCTGATTCAAAACAAGAGAAAATTATTTCCAGAGTACACACAAATCAGATATTTAATTAAAATACATGATTCAAAATTGTCTCCTCCTATTCATAAAGATGGGTGAAAAAAGCCCTTACTGCCACTCTTACAATTTTACAATGCTTTGTGTGCCTTAGCCTTTGTGTTGCTAGGGGCTTCCATCTGCAGGTCTGTGGCCTGCTCTTCACCCAAGCTGATGTGGCAGTGGTCTTCTGCACCCTTCCACCCAAGCTGCTGTGTTATGGTTCACCGAGCCCCTGTGGCAGTAGTTTCCCCTTGTTGTTCCCATGCTGTTACTCTCATGGCCTTGCACCTGCAAACCCTGAGATTGCAGTTAAGGCAGGTTTTCAAGGGAAGCAATTGCCACAGGCAGCTAGCAGGGAATCAACCCTTTTTCTTCTTCTTTCCTATCATGTGGTTTTAGCTTTTAGATTACATTAGGTCATCCAATAATATGTACATACAAATCTTAACAACTAATCTCCATGCAGCTTGTACCCCCAAAGTGTGCTCCACCACTAACAGCACCACAAGCAGGAATAACCAAAGGGGAGTGTGAGCAGGTCCTGATGAAAACTATATGGTTCCTGTAGAAAAAGTGCTGTTGGAGGAGGGGTCTCTGCTGCACTGGAGACAATGCTTACCCTCCTCCTCTTCTCTTCTTTTGCTCTTGTCTTTCCACAAAAGTAGCTTTTACCTTTAAAGTCAATATATGCCCTAAAATGCAGACACTGCTAATAAATCTACATATTGTATACCTAAAAGTATCCTTCCATGTCATATATAAAACATGAAAGAAAACAAGCATACAGTACTCAGACAGTGGAACTGCACCTACAGAACAAGAGAGCTCTATTTGCATACTCAGTTACATGCACAGCCTATACAAAAAGAGCTGTTTATGAAAGTACACTAAAACTATCTACCCAGAAGTACACTTTAAAGTAAAATATATTTACTATTGGCTTTAAAGGATAATATATCTACTACTACCTAGTCTACTAGAATTATTTTCACTAAATCAACTAAATACTTCTATAATTTTATATTATTGTTTAGAAAGATGAATTTGTTTAGAAGAGGCTATGAAAAAGTATATATATAAAAAAGAAAACTTACTTGTTAATACTCCTGACTGATATATTAATTGTCCGGCAGAATAGTCCCACACCTTTATGAAAAAAAAAAAAAAAAGAGTAAGGATAGGCATCTTCTTAGATCTTTAAGGAAAACACAAACTTCAACTGCCATCATGTCGTGAAAAGCGAAAAATGCAGCCATTGAAAGTGATGCAATATGTTGATTTTTTTTCTAACCACGAAGGACTTTGTTTAATTGCTAAGTATCCATAGTGGAAAAGGTGAAACTCACCTGGTATGGATACACAAAGTAATTAGAAGTAACCGTTATCATCTTTGCTTAGGTTGATCTCCTAGTGACTTTAATGAAAAGATATACTTGAACTGGCTCTAGATTTCACACAGGGAGATTGCATAATTCCACAGTTCTCATATTGGGCTCTGGCATAAAAGATCATTAGTAATAATAATTGTATTTACTATGATCTATAGACCCACATGTAAGTCAGCTTTCAGTATTAACATGACCATTTCTAAGTGATGCATTCTGTTTAATAGTTGATTATGAAAACCAAATAAAACCAACTTTTTCCCCTCATGCTGTTATTTCTATGAGCCTTCCTCTCCACAAGTACTTCCACTACATTTTTGATATCTATCATAGCTGTGGTTGAAAAAATTACAGCCAGAGAGCTCCCGCTTTTATTAATATGGCTGTGAGCCTTTGTTTAGCTCCCACGCCTTTCTCTTTGTTCATTTCTTTGAGAATGTAAACATCATTCCCCGGAAAATCTGTTTCCTAAGACTGTATTTCACAAATTTCTCTGAAGAGATTCTCATCTGGTTTACTTCTTTAGCCAAACAAAAGGGCTAGGAGAGCATAAGGTTTTGGATGCTGCAAGTCCTGCAATCACAGGAGCCAACTATCACAGACTCCAGCACAGCTGCCATCAGAACAGATCTACAGAATCAGGCAGAGAAAATAAAGCTTGATGACTTACTAAATTATGTGAGAGACTTGCAAAACATTTTCATGTGATTGTCATTTTAGTCCCAACATTTATCAAGGGTAAAAAACTCCAAAACAAATAAAAAAAAACCAAACAAACCTCCCAAAAAAACCAAACCCCAAACAACCAATTATTCATTAGGATTTTGTATGATTTATCAAGTCTTCATTAAATTAATATGAAGAAGCATATAGATCCTTTCCTTCAGTAATTTTAACCTTGATTTAATTTCTTAAATCAACATAAACTAAATAAGAAACAATTAATCAGAAAGTCAGAATTATTAATCTCTCCCAAAATTCTAATTCAATTTTTGCACTTTTTTTTTGTCCAAGACCAGCACAAAAATCAAAATCGCATTTTCTCCAGAACAGAGTTACATAAAAATTAAATTTAAGGAAAAAGAAAACAAAGCAAACCAACATTTGATTGAAAAATTTAATTTTACTTAAACTTGTAGAACCAAATGTTGGGCTACATTTAGAATCTTACAGAGGACAATCAGTAGCAGAATAAACTGTATCTAATCAAGGTACCCACCCCAGTATCTCCTGGAAAATACATGTAGACTCACTCAAGCTCCTTGTTTCCCCTTACTGTCTAAGTGGTATTCTATCATCGTCATGTACAGCAACAGCAATCCATGGTGTCATACAAAATGTTGTCTGGAAAAAAAACCTACCACTACGCAGTGACCCATCCATTGCATGCAATAACCCAAAACAATATTCCCAAAAGGGAAGATTCTAATCAATGTCAGCAGACTCAAAGTGAAATACTTTCATTCAGTTCAGCATATGTAAAACATTTCAGTTACAGCCAAACTGATCAAAATATTTTATTTCTATTTTCCAGATGATAATAACTGAAGTTAACACTTCAGTCTAGAAAGTTTTGAATTTACAAAACCTGCATTGCCCTTTTAAAAAAAGTCATTAATTTTTTACAATATTTTCCCAAGCAACTCTAAGAACAATGTTCTGATCTCTATAAAGTTAAACATGGTTTTTACTTAATCATCAAAAAATATTTAAAGGAAAAAAAAAGACTATTCCACATATTCACTAAATTATATTGTTTTAAGTGCAGCTCTATAATTTCCTTGCCTTAAAGGTTCTGTCTTCTGACACTGATATAAGAATAGTTTTCTCCCATGTGCAAAACTCGGCAGCAGTCACTGGAGCCATGTGGCCATGCAATTCAGTTAGTATAGCTTCAGTCTGTGATTAGTCAAGTCAAAATAAAAACAGATTAGTTTTCAAACGAAAAATGACAGTTACGTGTTTTATAACAGTTAAATATTATATAACAGTTAAATGTTTTAAAACAGTTATATGTTTTAATAACTGTTGCTAAAAATTGTCAGATTTTTATTCAAAATATTAATTCATCAAGATTTTTCTTATTGAAACTGCAGTCCTGTACATCATCCTGCTAGCAAAACCACTACACATTACATTTGCTTCTTCAGAAAGAATGATAGTTTTTCAGATGACCTCAGAACATTTCCTTCTACTTAGTTATAGAGATATTGTTTCATTTCAACTTTTAAAATCTAGTCTATCTGGCATATGATGTATTATCAAGCATTAGTGCATACTTATTTTCATCTATGAGAAAAATTAATGCTTTTGCTTAATTATATGGATATTTCTATTGCATGATTTTATCTGAAAGTAAGTTAAAGAAATACCAGCACCATGGCTACAAAGAATGGTAGCTCACCTTTGCACTTAATATGTAGATCCGATTTCCAGCACACACTGCCACTTGCTGATCATCTGGACTAAATCTTACATGAAGCACCATGCCCAAAAGAGTTCCTACAACAATTCCTCGAGGTGTTAACCCTGCAGCAATTTTATTGTTATTGAGAGTCAATGAAATATAAAACTCTGGTGTAGTGAGATTCTTAGAAACTTTGCATAGCAGTTATCTAACCACAGAGCTATCCCAGTTTCTGTCAGGAAGATGTACAGAACAACCCACAGTTTAATTATACCAGGCTACTGGAAAGCAAAGCACAGAACTGTGCACCAGCAGGATTCTTCCATCTGCCTTGTTGCCTAGACATGATCTGAGATACTAAGTGTGCCAATTAAATCATACTTCCATTGAAGACTGCCAGGGACAGTAGGGTGATGTGCCCAAAGAACCCAGTAGTGCCACACTCATTTTGGACACAAGAAATCCCGACTGAAGCCCAGAAAACCAGGGGTTAGAAAAATACTTCTTCCAGAAGAACATCCCAACCACTCAGCCAGCACTGCTCCCTGGAATCTAACTCCATTGGTTGAGGCTCCAAACCGAGATGGTGGTCAGGATACGAGAACTTCTGCTTTCTTTGTGCGATGTCATTATAACTCTCTCACTCATGCAATCTCCTCCAGATCAGATACTTGCATTGCTCACACACACGCATGACAACAGTGTTCCGGACAGAGGCAGAAGGAGAGGCAGGACCAGACAAAGCAGGATGTAAAACACTCGTTCCGCAGGCATTCCAGAAAAAGTATCATTTATTCTGGCATTGCATGTTTAGTTGTGCCGTGCTGCTATGATTAAAATCTGCCCTGTCTGGTTTGTTCCACGGTGGTTGAACGCATCTGCCCTCGCAGCGGTTCTCTGCGTTTCCCCGCCGGCTGCGGGCACCGGCCCGGTCCCGCGCAGCACCTTGGCC